CCGGAGGGGGGGCTGGGGGGGTGGGTAACAGGGACAGCCCACAGAGGGACGTGGAGGAGACAGGGACGTCCCTCAGAGGGACCTGAGGGACAGGGGGACTTTTCAGCGGGAATTGGTGGGTTGGTGGGGGCAAGGACATCCCTTATGGGGAGAGTGGGACACCTCAGGGAACAGGGACATCCCTCAGAGGGACCTGGGGGACAGGGGCACCCTTCAGGGGGACATGGCAGGGGGAGACGGACATTGACAGCCCTCAGGGAAACTTGGGGGACACTGGGACACCCTCCAGGAGGACAGTGCTCCCATGTGTCCCCTCAGAGGGGACTTGGGGGGCCCTGGTGCCTTCCAAGGGCTGGGGACACCCCTGCCCACGAGCTGTCACCTGCCCCTGGCATGGGGGGGGTTTCACTCCCTCCAGCCTGACCTGAGCCACGGGACTGCGGCTCGGGGCACCACCCACCCTGGTTCCCGCTGAGCTCTGTCCCTGCAGACGTCGCCTACCTGCGCTCCATCCTGCCCAGCACCACGGAGGACGCCTTCTTCGATTACCTGGCCACCCTGGACACCTCGGAGGTGACCGTCTCTGCTGTGCCGGAGGGCTCTGTCGTCTTCGCCAGGGTGGGATGCACTCAGTACCCCCCCGTGCTTCAGAGGGGCTTTGGGGCCTGTTGGCTCCCATGTCTGCGGGGAGGATGGGAACGTCACTGCCCAGCTGTCCCCGCAGGTCCCGTTCCTGCAGGTGAAGGGGCCACTGCTGGTGGTGCAGCTGCTGGAGAGCACATTGCTGTGCCTGGTCAACTACGCCAGGTAGGGACATGTCCTGCTCTGGTCCCCCAGCGGCTGGGGACCACATCTGTCTCTGCTGTGCCAAACCCTCCGAGTCCTGCGGCAGTCCCTGCCGCCTTCCCGCACATCGGCTGCGGTTGAGCGGAGAGGGTCCCGGAGCCCACCTGCCCTTGGCTGTGCCGCTGGCTCCATGCTCAGCCTGGCTTGGTGTGGCCTGTCCCTTCCTCTCCCAGCCTGGTAGCCACGAACGCCGCTCGCTTCCGACTCCTTGCTGGCCCGGACGTGAAGCTGGTGGAGATGGGGCTCCGTCGTGCTCAGGGGCCGGACGGTGCCCTCTCAGCCTCCAAGTACTCCTACATCGGGGGTGAGTGCTGACCTGTGGCGCCCCACGGCACTGCGGCCACACCGTCACCCATGTCCCCCTCCCCGTCTCTCCTCGCAGGCTTCGACTACACCAGTAACGTCCTGGCAGGGAAGCTCTACGGTATCCCGGTGCGCGGCACCATCGCCCACTCCTTCATCGTGTCTTTCACCTCGCTGGAGGAGGTGCAGCTCCGGGTGAGCGTTACTGTGGGCAGGGGATGGGGATGGGATGCTCTGCCCGTGGCTGCGCTCCTGGCGCTGTGGAGGATGCCACAAAGTGTGCAACGCCCGTGTCCCCTGGGCAGAAGCTGCCACCGCTGGCAGGAGGAGAGCCAGTGGATCTCCCGGCCCTGGCTGAGTCGTGGCTGCAGCGGGTGTGTGAGCTGCTGCAGACCCCCCCTGAGAAGGCGAACCGGGGTGAGCTGGCCGCCTTCACGTCCTACGCCATTGCCTTCCCACGGAACTTCCAGGGGCTGCTGGACACGTACTGCGTCAGGAGGTGAGGACACCAGGTCCCGCCACGGCTTTGCCACCATGGCAGAGGGGATGGATGTGTCTCTCCTGCTCAGTGGCCTTGAAGGAGGGACGTTTCCACGTGGCAGCATCCCCGTGTTTCGCTGTTGCGTGATGCAGAGCTTGGACCCGCTGCTGGACCTGCCCTGGGTCCCTGTCCCACCAGGCAAGGGACACTAATCCTCTCCTCGCCCATGCCAGGAGTGGCTTGCCAAACTTCTGTGCTGTGGCACTGGCCCTGCACCAGCTGGGGTACCAGGCTATCGGGGTGCGTCTGGACAGCGGGGACCTGGCCCAGCAGTCCAAGGAGGTCCGCCGAGTGCTCCGAGCCTGCGGTGCTCAGTGAGTCCTCCACCAAGCCTGGGTTGGCTGCCACCAGTCCCCGGCTTCCCCACCTTGGGCACCCAGCACCTCGTCCTGCCAGGGCGGGAGCCCTTGCTGCTCAGGGGGGTGCTGCAAGCAGAGCCAGGGGTTCCCCCCAAACCCTTGCTCACTCCCCCACCCCTCTCCAGCTTCCAGGTGCCCTGGTTTGAGACCATCCCCATCGCCGTCAGCAACGACATCAGCGAGCAGAGCCTGGAGGAGTTCAGCCGGGAGGTGAGGTAGCTGCTGTCAGGGCTGGGACGTCACCTTGGCTTTCGCTGGCGCCACTGAGGTTTGGGGTGCATGGGATGGACATGAGAGTCACCTGGGACTTTCTCCCTGGGTGAGAACAGGGAAGAGTTTCTAGGCTGGAAAAAAAATGGCTTTTGGGTGGGACAGACAGACACCGGGCACTTTCAGGCAGAGCATCCTCTGACCTGCCCCGTGGCTCTGGTTTTGGCATGGGCTTAAAAATCAGCGGCAGGGCTGAGCTGTTGATGGCCGCTGTCTTCTCTGCCGCACCAGGGGAGCGAGATTGACATGATCGGCGTCGGGACGAACCTGGTGACATGTCCCCTGCAGCCGTCGCTGGGCTGCATTTACAAGGTAGGGGTGACAGCTCTCTGCCCTGCTTGGCTTGTGGGGTATGGGGCTCCCTGGCTTCTCCCAGGCTTCGCCCAGCTGGGGCCAAGTAGCAAAGGGGGCTCCGGCCCTAAGGGACGCTGCTGCAAGGCCAACGTCATCAAATCACAGAAGGGTTTGGGTTGGAAGGGACCTTCAAAGATCATCTAGTCCAACCCCTCTGCCATGGGCAGGGACATCTTCCACTAGATCAGGTTGCTCAGAGCCCCATCCAACCTGACCTTGAATGCTTCCAGGGATGGGGCATCTACTACCTCTCTGGGCAACCTGGTCCAGTGTCTCACCACCCTCACAGTAAAGAATGTCTTCCTTATGTCCAGTCTAACCCTACCCTCCTTCAGTTTAAAACCGTTGCCCCTTGTCCTGTCACTACAGGCCTCGGTAAAAAGTCTCTCTCCCTCTTTCTTATAAGCCCCCTTTAAATATTGAAAGGCCACAAGAAGGTCTCCCCGGAGCCTTCTCTTCTCCAGGCTGAACAACCCCAACTCTCTCAG